AGTTCCTTGTCTGCCTCCCCCAAAGCCACCTTCCTTTCCTGGCAGCAACAGTACTGGTGGAAGACAAATGTCAGGGGAAGAGATTTCTCTGCAAAACAGGCTGTGCACAACCCAAAACTCGTTTACAGTGTCTATGCTCCTCTTGTGACAACCAAGCCCCTTGGAAAGCAGCCCAGTTCAGAGGGTGGGAGCCCACCAGAACAAGCCTCTGCTCCACACACTGCCCAAGGGAACAGGAGCCACTCCTACACCGGCCTGAGTCACTGAAGATATGCAAGTAAAGCAACACCAGGCCTCCTCCCCCCTCCTCCAGGCATTGTCCCAAGTGATCTGGAGAAGCCCTCAACACACAGCACTGCCAGGAGAGCAGCCAGGTCTTGTACCCAGGCAGGACAAGCTCCTCAGGGTCCCACACTGGGCTCTGGGGACAAGAACAGCAGCGCTGCCCCTCAGGAGCTTACCTGGGGGGCAGAGGCCCGCAGAGCACCTCACAGCAGTTCTTCACTATGTTGCCATGGCTGTAGGGATTCTGCACGCGGTTCTTCCCAGTCCAAGACCCCTTGATCTGTAAGAACCAGGGCAGAAGCTCAAGTCTGCTCCACCAGCACCCGGCCCACGGAGCCCTGCAGGGCACGGTGCCAAGGCAGAGGCAGCGTGACACACGGAGGAAGCGATGGGCTCGGAGGGACACCAAGGTTCTACTCACGTCTTCGTTGGTTGTCTGGTTCAGTGCCACCAGGAAGGTGTGGAACCCAGTTAACCCCACCACCGACCACAGGGTGAAGAAACAGATGAGCACCTCCAGTACAGTGGGAAGAGTTAAGGACTGGGAACAGCCTGGGAACAGTCCCAGCCCAGCCGAGTGTCACGACCCGACGCACACTACCCCAATTTCTTCTAGACATGGTTTTCTGTTTTACCCTCCTCCCATAAGCCACAAAATTGCTCCTTGCCTTGTAATCGTGGGGGAAATGCCCTGAATGACTCCCTAGAGACACCTGGGCATCAAGACTCCAGTTCCTCCATAACACAGCTCACACTATCCCCTGGCTCTGGAGAAGCCCTGCGGAAGGATATGTCCCTGGGGTTTCCTTCAATGTGTTCAGAAACCCAATCTTCAGAGATTCTGGCAATACAAAGAGAGAGAGATTTTTTTCCGGAACACCACATCAAGCCCAGCTCCCTTCCCCACTCCATCCCTTCTGGGTTCACACCACCATGAGTACCCCCTCCCTCCACCAGCCCAGCCACCCTCTCCTCCACAACCAGACTCACTCAGTGCTACGTAGACGATGTTGAAGGTGAAGATGTAGATGGTGAGGAGGGAGAGCGAGAGGATGAAGAGGTAGAAGTAGCGGTAGTTCCTCTTCCCCACGCAGTTGCCCACCCAGGGACAGTGATGGTCGAAGCGCTCTGTGAAAGCCGAGGGGAGATCAGTGCCACCCTGGCACAGCCCTGCCTGCTCCAGACACCTGCTCCCCGAGCTCAGACATTGCCAGGCTGACAGGGACTCCCTGGGCCATCAACCCCAACCTAACTAACCCCAAGCCCCATATTGTGGCCCCTTCCAGGGGAGGCAAGAAAGTGCAAAACCATTTTACTAAGGTAGAGTTTAAGAGCTTGGCCCCATGTGTGTCTCCTCTGCAGAGACCTGAGGTGTAACAGCTTCCACTAAAGCAGCACACAGGTTAGATGAAGCTCTGAGGCTTCAGAAGTTCTCATCTAACCCATGTTGTCACTTTGCTCCTACTAGAATAATTAGAAGAGGGCTCAAGAACTGCATAAGCACTCAAAGGGCTGGGAACCTGCAGAGGAGGAAAGGGATCCAAAAGGCTGGGATGGCTTCCTTGAGGAGATGCTGGACACAAGCCAGTTTTGAAAGGCAGAATGGCCAAGAGAGCATCTGTGATGCTGCAAGGGAACGAAAACCAAGAGCCCTCCACACAACAGCAGAGCCTCTGTGCTGGGGCAGGGAGCTGCTCTCACACAGCTCCCCAGCAGAGCCCTCGAGGTCAGCCAGGGCAGCAGCTCAGTGAAGGGTGGGCACGGACACGGGCTGGGCACTCGTGTGACACGTCAGACCCGCGGCAAAGCCGAGCTGCCCGGCCACAGGCTCTGAGCAGAGCTCAGGCCCCCCGGGCCCAGGGGAGGCCGTGTGGGGCCGGGGCCT